AATTGATAGATAATTTGCAATAAGAGACAAAATAGTTATTAAATAATTAATGAGGAGCAAAAAGGTGAAAAAACATCTTCACATGTCTATATTTGAGAGTACATATATGTGAGTAATTAGGCTTTTTGACCCATGTAAAAAAAATATTTTTTCTGATTAATTCAAATTCAAATATTTTATCAAAGTATTACATTGTGATGTGTACGAGAACATGTGCACTTAAATCATGCATGAAAGAAATGTGCGACTTGTGATACGCAGCACGTGCATGACACAAATGACATATCTCTCTCAAATTGTATTGTTTTAGTATAATATTTAAATTTTAAATTCATGAAAAAACATATTTTTCTTCTTCTATTATTATAATAAGGAGCATGTTATATTTACAAATTTTTTACTTATAAAATTTTACAATATATTATGTCTAATTAGTCATACACTCTTGATTGAAGTCTGATCAATTATATTTAATATAATTTGTAAATGACTTTAATGTTTTTACAGTGAATGTAAATAAGTTATCTACATTCGCTCTCAAAATGACGTCGTTTTGAGTTAAAAATTAAAAAGTTATAATAAAAAAAATTACTATAATCCTAACATAAATTATAATTACAAAAATAACTGAACTTCTGTCTCAAAATGATATTATTTTGAACTCAATATAGATAAATTATCTACATTAACAATAAAAAAAACAAACCTTTTATAAATTTATAAATAAAAAATTTATAAATATAATCCTATCTAATTATGCCTAGGACACAAAATCTTCTTTCGCACCTCGAACTGAATCGTAACTAAGCTACAATAGCTTCAACTCTTTCCACGTGTTCTTCCCAGCTTAATTAACACCCACCATTGAGGGATTGTTGCGCCCAACTAACACGTGCCTCGTGCACGTGGCTTCTGCTAGGTTAACCTCTCACATTCGTTTCACTGCTTTTGCTGACAAAACGACAAAAAAAGCCAACAATTCTGCAAACGGCGGAAGCCACGTCAATACGCTAATGGCAGTTAGTTGGCAAATAACATAAGAGGGGACAAACGAAACGGCAAGAACGACAACCGGCTTGGTCTTTGTAGTGGGCCCCACGTGTTTCGTGGACACATCATGATTCAATGACAGGTGTCCTAGTTAGGCAAGACTAATTTATTCTATATTTTAATAGTTTGTTACTTTCTTTAGTATCAATTATTGTTTTTATTTTATTATTATCAAATTGAAAGCAAAGATTCTTTCCTAGACCTACTCAGAATAGAAATAAATTATGTTAGGCTTAGCAATCCTTATTTTACACAATATTAAAATATTTTATTAGAAATCGAATTTTAACGGAAGAAATTTCTTTGCACTACCGTCTATTATTACTCTTTTCACACAATTAGTAATTTTAATGTATTGAAAATGTAAAAATATACACCTCGATAAAATTATATATCATCATATCATTTATGAGCTATAAATATTAATATAGCTAAATTCATGAATGAAGAGTCCATACAAAATTAGAATATAAGTAAAAATTTTAATAAAATAGTTGCAGTTAGGTCAACTCAAAATTAAATATAATTAAAATATAGTCGTAATTAGGTTAACTCACTGAGTCACTGTCGCTGAATGGGGTCCATTTGGAGGGGCATGAAAATTTTTCTTTTGAAAATAAATGGATATGTAGAAGCATTATGTCCAAATTACCCTGGCTTATGATTCTTGTAAATATTAATTTAACATGATTTAACAAATATTTGTTTATACTTAATTTCACAATAAATATTTAAAATTTATTAAATATAACCAATGATTAATAAGTAAATAAAGTAAGTATCAAAGTAATCTCCGCAAAATTTTCTAATAATTATTTTTGTCCTTAAAAGAGAGCTGAATTTACATCATTTTAGTTCCTAAATGAAAGATGACATCAATTTAGTTAGTGAAACATAGAAAGTAATATTAACTTAGTTACTCTTTAAAAAAAAAAACTTTGATCTTCCGTTAAAACACTGTACGTGACATGTTAAGTGCTATTATGCCATGATTCTTGATACCTTAATTAGCAACCGTGTGGATATTTTTATCAACAAATTCAGTCTCCAAATATATATATATATATATATATATATATATATATATATATATATATATATATATAGAGAGAGATAGGATCTTTTGACATCAGTGTCAAATTTGAAGTTTGACACCTCATTTCAAAGCCGTTAGATCAAAAAAGATCAATGGTGTCACATGTTTACAAATCAAAGTCGTTGATCTTTTTTTTATCTAATGACTCTTAGATGATGTATCAAATTTCAAATTTGACACTGGTGTCAAAGGATCCTACCTCATATATATATATATATATATATATATATATATACGAGTTTATATTTGAAAGCATTAAATATTCATATATATACTTGAAAGCATTAAATCCATTGAATCATAACCATATAAAGGATGAAAGCATTAAATGTGAGAAATCATAATTATACACCTGACGTTATTGTACGTAAAGCGACTGCAGAAATGATTTTAATATATATATATATATATATATATATATATATATAAAACCTAATTCCAATTTCAAAACTGAACAATAACTATAATTATAGTCCCAAAGGTAAACATTGTTGAAAGCAAAGGAGAAGTTTCAAGCTAGCGAGTTGATCTTGGGTGCTTGCATTAGGGACTTTGACTCTAGTGGAATTGTTAAGGATAGTTTTCAATGTGGGGTCAATTTTGATTGTCACGGGCTTTGGCTACTGGATTAAAATCATAGAGTTTTAGAAAGTGGGTTCAGGCCTCAGGGTTGAGTTGAGTGAGACTACGGTTACAAATATAGATAGGTGACATCAGTTTAGTTTCTAAAAGATAAAGTTAAAAGATGGTTGAAATCAAGTTAGTTCTTCAAACATCATGGCTGTGCTGCTCTAACTTCCGGCCGATTCAAAAATTAATGATTATTTCTATAAATTAATATCAGATTTTTCAGTGTGTTTTATTTTCATTCACATATTTTCTAGAAAAATTTTTCAGGAGGTTATCCATCTCAAAATTGCTTCAAGTTAAGCATGCTTAACTATGAAGTTCTTAAGTTATGGATTACCGAAAAATAGATGCATCTTGTTAGTATATGTAGTATCAATTAATTCTTATAAGTTATCCTCAATTGTATAGTCTTATACTTGCACAATCTCTGAAATTCTTGTCTTTCGGGTGTTGATTTGATTCATTCATGTACCATTGCTGGAAGCTTGCTAGTAGCTGCTCATTGTCTATGCTCCTTCGCACCGTGTCTTTTCACATCGATGATCACTTCTCGCCCTCGTCAACACCCGAGATGTTAGTTTGAGGATTTCAAGGAAAGATTCAATCTTGTATAGGTGAATCAAAACAAAGGAAGTGTGGTTTTTGGTATATAAGGATTTCACTTTTGTGAGGCAGAGAGAATGAAGTTGGTGTTTGTTTGTATGGTCTGTTGGGTGAGGTTACATTAATGATTTTATATATCTCAACACACTCTCTAACACGAAAGTCCATTGGGTTTGAAGAGTGTACGATACACAAACCCACCTACTTGTGCGTAGAAAGAAGAAAGTGGGAGGACGGTGGGGATCGAACCCGGTATACCGAAGCTCTCTGATATAATGTAAAGAACCATTTCAACCCAAAACTTTAAGGTGTTGGGTGAGGCTACATTAATAATTTTATATATCTAAGTGTGTCAATAGAAAATTAAAGAGTGACTTGGGAGATTAAAAAAACTGTCATGTAAATACCAAGATAGTAATAAACTTGACATAAAAGCACATAATGTGTCAAGTAGCACTAAGTTAAATAACATCTTAATGGAACGACTAGCATAATGTCACTTTTTATGTTTTAAAAAAGTCAAATATCTTACGAAAATCAAATTAATGTAAACCAATTCGAGTAGCAAAGTAGTAATTTACTATTTACTTTAATATCCAAGTACCATGTTCCAAATTTAGTATCATAAGCGGAGTTGAAGTCAGTACATAAAACAAACTTGTCCCTTTTTAATGTAATACAAGTTCTAATAAATATAAATGAGTAAATGAAATAAGTATATATTAATTAAGGGAAGGATGTTGTAATCAACAATTAGAGTTACTACTAATATTACTATCAATCAATTTTATCGGTTAGATCGACTATATTGATTTAACGATTTTATTTATTTCTATCTTTGTATGGTTATGATTCTCCATATTTAATATTTTATATTTATTTCTACCTTTATATAGTTATGATTTCTCATATTTAATGCTTTCACATTAAATATGAGAAATAATAACCATACAAAGATGAAAATAAATATAACTGTTGGATCAAGTAATATAATGATTAAGTAAGATATCGTTATCACGAGGATTATGTTTCAAGCACTAATTCACTACTTCAGCTTAAGTTGGACAATCAAAATTGGATAAACATAATTGATCTAACGGTAAAATTGATTGATAGTAACATTGATAGTAACTACTCTAATTAGTTGTTATAATATCCTATTCTATTAATTAATTATAAAGTCATTAAATGGATATTTAGACATAGCATTGAAAATTACATACTAGTTTTTAGATATTATTCATTTTTCCCCCCTTTCTTCATCATTTCATATATTCTAGATTGAACTAGACGACAAAAGGAGGAAGCTTGATGAACTTTTCAACAAAGTTTCTATTGAGGTCACATTCTATAACGGAGGAAAGAGTTAGAAAAGGGGCCATTTTTGTCAACACATCATTGTTCTTACATTACACTCAAGTTATTAGGTAATTTAGGTTTACATATTTTATTTTCTTTTTGTTTTCTTCCAAAGGGGAGACATCAGACATGGACAACGGACCTTTGCGTGAAGTGTAAATAAAATATATTTCTTGCATTTCCTTTTTCTCAATAAAAAAATAAAACAAAAACCTTATTTTATTTCCTTAATATTCGTAATTGTTAATTCTTATTCTCATCACTGCATCATGCTTCATTGTCTCTCCTAAGGTTGCAGACATAGAGAGAGAGAGAGAGAATGGGTCTCATCTCAATGCAATTCAGGTTCTGAAAACCAAAAGCTTCCCATAGTAAGTTCTTCCAAAGTTTATGGCTTTATGCTCTTACATCACAAGATCTCTAGCTTTGATTCATATTTGACTAGAACGTTCTGAAGGGTGTTTTTGATTTTGCTTGTTTTTGGGTTTTCCTTTATTATAATTGTTTGTGAGAAATGGGAATTTTCTTTTCAGTTGGTGTGTTTGGTTGGCAAGAAAACATGAGAAAAGCAATTTTGATTTTTGAGTTTTCTGTCTAGTAATGAAAGGGGGTAGTCATCACTTTGTTCTCATACAATATAGAATTTCAGGGTAGCTATAAATAATAAAATTCCCAGCTCAAGAACACTGAACTTGATCCAGCCCAAGTCCTTTTGGGGTTATCTGAGTGGAGGGTAAGTCTTCAAATTCGATTATGTTCTTGTAATCCTTAGCATCTTCTCTTTTTCTATATATAAATTTATGGAATTTGATTATGTTCTTGTGCATCTATGATTTTGAAATTGTTGTTGTCTCTTTGTTTGGTTCAAGTTCCGGGGAAAACTTGTGCTAAGATGCCAGGGAAACCTGAAACTGATGATTGGCGAGTAGAGCATGGTGAGCAGATTCAGTTTCAATCTTCCATTTACTCTCATCAGCCTTGGTGGCATAGAGTGAGGGAAAATGCCTCCAAATCATCTTCAACAGATCAGCTAAATGGTTCAATCATGAATGGTTTCACACTTTCAGAGACCAATGAAGGCCTATCTAAGGGAATTGGTCTCAATAAACAAAGGCAACCAATGGTTTCTCCTTCACTGTCTGGAACTGATAAATCAGGTGTCTGTGTTTTAGACTTTTGCTTGATAGTAATGCATTTTTGTTTCTTCTCCTTTTTTTGGTTAATCTGTTCATTTGAATTAACCAGCATGCTTGTGTCAGTTTTTCTATCATCTGTTTTAATAGTCTGAGTTGACATAATTTCAAGTCAATTGCACTTTGCCACCCTGATTTATCAAACCAATTGGGCTTTTCAGCCTAATTAATAAAAATATAAAAGTATGCATTTTACCCCCTTCTTAACAATGACCCCCTTGCCTTTCAAATTAGGGTTAATTCTCATAATTAAGAAAAACTTATATACAGCAGGTAACTTTTTAAAGGAAATATCAATTAATGATTTTCTGATTATGTTCAAAGTAAGGAATTTGTGTCTCCAATGATGATGACTTTTGATTTGTAAATTAAGAATTCACCAGAAACTTAATGTGTCTCTGCACATACATTAGCATAGTATATGAGTATGATATTTATGGAAAAATTTCTTATGATCTCAGGTGGGGATGTTGCTAAAGAGCACCAAAACATCAAACATGCCCTGTCCTCAACCCCTTTTACCATGGACAAACACCTTGGTCCAAATTCCCAGATGAAACTTGTTGGTCATTCAATTGTAAGATCTTGGAACTAATTTTTCTAAGATATGTAGGAATAGTGAACTTTTGTCATCCACTGCATGAGCCTTTAATTTATAGTTGAGTTTATACCTCAAATCTCTCACATTATATGTCAATTTTCTTTTCTTTGTTTCTCTACTAGCTCTTTTTTTTTTGGGATTATGGAATCTGACACTCTACTATATCTATGGGGTGTAAAAATAAAGATTATAAGCTTCCTCAATATGTGATGCAGGTCTTAACACCTTATCCTTATTCAGATGCACAGTATGGTGGAATCTTGACTACTTATGGGCAACAAGCTATGGTATGCCATCTGCAATTTTAAATACAGTGTTTATGAAATTCGTTCTCACTTGAACAAGTCTCTTTTTTTATCTGTAGACCAAAACTGATCCTCCTTTGCTCCTTTGGAAAGAGAAATTGTTTATTTCTTTTGTTTGGTGTCTAGTATAGATATTTTGTGCACTTATATTTGTGCATAAGATGCTTATTCACAAATTAAAACATTATTATTTATTTTTGACAGAAAAGGGTTGCTATAAAACAATAACTAGTCTCTTAGCCTGTGCCAGGACTTTATATATCAATATTTATAATTATTCTGAATATATTTTATAACTATTTTCTAATGATAAATTAGTTTATAAAGTGAATATATATGTAATATATTTATTTATTTTCTGGGAAAAAATTATTTCTTTTTATTTATATATATTTTTTCTTCTGATGATGTGTCTTAACTTGTTTGCACATTAATATTTGTAGTTAGTTTTTTTTTTCTAAATATAGTTTATAAATATTTATGTGATGATAATTGAATGTGCGAGCTCCATATATTTTATTTTTGACTTTGATAATAAACTTTTAAAAAGTTTTATTTGTATATTTTTCATGATTGTGTGCTGCTAATTCAATATTTTGAACTATAACTTTATTCTATACATCATTCTTTTGTAACTATATAAAGAATGAATAAAAATAATAATCACATAGTAGTTTCGAAGCATTGGGAGAATCATATCCATAAAAGTATTAAATGGGGATACTAGCATACTAATATTTGCATTTAGTTTTTTTAAATGATTTTTTTTTTTTTGAATTTTTATGTAATAATTTGGTATATGTTTGTTCTTTTATTAGTTTTTTGTTCAGCACACTATAAGGGAAGCAAATACTTGTGCAGATTGGTTAGCAAACTTTATTATTGATCATGGTAATCAGGATGACCGATTAGTGTGGGGGGAGCCTCCTCCTGGACTAATCCCGCTTCTTAATGCTGATATGGCGAGTGTGGGAAGACCTCGTGTCTTAGGTTGTAATTCGTAGTTTTTTCCGGTTTTGTTTTTGTTGTTTTGGGGGCTTAGTCCTCCTTTTCCTTACCAAAAAAAAAAAAAAAAAAAAGGAGGGCAAGTCTTGAAGTAGAGTAAGGTTGCTCCTTGTGACCTTCCGGTCACAGGTTCGAGTCTGTGAAACAGTCTCTTTGCAAAAATATAAGGGTAAGGCTGCATACAATTGACCATTACCCCTACCCTCACAAGTCCGGGGGCTTTGTGCACCGTGCTTTGCCCCTTTTTAATTTTTTTTCTTTCTTTCATAGAACACTAATTAAAGGGGGTGAACCGGAGCAGTGGTAAAATTGTTCTTCTATGACCGAAAGGTCATGGGTTCGAATCTAGGTAACAGCCTCTTTGCAATTATGTAAGGGTAAGACTGCGTTCAAGAATTACCTCCACCCCATACTCGCTATTCAGGTTTAACGGGGATTGGATTCTTTTCATAGAACACTAATTGTAAAGTTTATTTGTAACTTTTTCCATTATTGTATGTCCTTGAGTAGTTAATGATTTATTTATAAGGTTGTTTCATGGGAGGATGCCACATTGGCACTTCATATGATGTGGCATTACGAGGTTTGTGAGAATCTACCTTCATATATTTTATATGAATATTGATATAGATTATGTAAGCGAGAAGATATAGCTTGTCACTATTCAGTTTGAAGTAATTTGAGCATATCAGCAATGGTGTGGTAACAATAAGCTTGGAAATGCCTTTGGTTGTATGTCGAGGTTCTTTTTGTTTTCCATGACATTCTGTAAAGCTAAACCTTTCACATCGTTGTAACTGTAACCACTGCATAAGTGTCATCTTTATGATGGTAGCACTTCCTTTTGAGAAGGCTTTCTTTCTCTTCATGAATTTTTGTATCACAATTTAAATTCAACCCCTTTTCCCCTTCTTTTTTTCCTCGGGCTTTTTGTCTTTTAATATTCTTGTTGAACCAAGTAAATGCAATACTATATTGATACTTTTCTCCTAGTCCTAACAGCTATTGGCATAATGCTAGATAAACCCTCAGTTATATGGAATGCATCATGCGAGAATGCCTTTGCCGCTCGAAATGGAAGAGGAGCCTGTTTATGTCAATGCAAAGCAGTATCATGGTATTTTGAGGCGAAGACAGTCCCGTGCTAAGGCCGAGCTTGAAAAGAAAGTGATTAAAGCTAGAAAGGTATGATCGATATCTATCTTAGGAAGGGAAGCATATAACTAGGAGGACGTGGTCTCTACTATCCAGAAAAAAAATATATAATGAAAGTATGAAAACAGAAATGAAGAAAAAATAGCTGTAAAATTAAAATCCATTTACAGCAATAGGTTACTACTAGAATGAGGATTATGCATTCATAGCCTTAATGTTGCGGCTTTTATCATGCTTCTTATTTCCATTTGTTTTGTATTTCATACTTGTTCTGATAATCTACTTGACCATCTCGATATCATGTATAGATTTAGGCAATTGAAAATTATTTACCATGTCTTGGACTATATGCTGAGCTGCCTATATTAGTTTAGTTTTCACGATTTCTTTGGTTATTTTGCTTTCTATTAGGTTTGATTCTTGTGAAAATCTGATAGAAAAGACAATGGAAAATTAATTTTGTTTCCTGCTTTGCCTGTTGCTCTGTGATGCAGCAAGCAGCAGGATTCAAGTTAATGTCTTTTAAATTCTCAAATTTGACATCTTTATGGTATTGACAAATTAACATCCTGTTAAATTAGGTGGAAATCTATCTTTAAATGCCAAGATTTGTTTTGGTAGAAAAAGAAAAGACATAAAAAACTGGAGGATATGAAAACATCTGTAGACAAGGCTTAAATGTAAACTCGGAAAAACATTATCAAATGTGAGAAGGGCATGAGATCTCTTTGATGTATGTTAGAATAACAACCCTTAAAAAGGCCATATATCAAAGATAAGCCAAATAAAGAATTATGTTATTATGAAAATATGGAGTTTCTAGAAATTTTATGACAGTATTTTAGAGAAGGTCCTGTGTAAAATTGTGTTCAGAATGTTGGGAATTCAAGTGTGAGTGATAAAAAGTCTTTCATCGAAAAGGAATGGGCTAAGCATGGTACATATAAGTGAAAGAACCCATTAACCCAATACCTTAAGGTTTTGGGTTGAGATGTGGTGTCGGACCCTCTTGTTGTGGGTTGCTTAGGCCCCTTATTGTCAGACCCGCTGTCCAACCCAGAATACTTTAGCAATTTTCACTATCAGGAATTCATAACAGTCAAAGTGTTCTTTAATTGACTATTAGGTTTATGTATTAGTTGGTGTCAAGAACCAAATTTCTTAAAAGATTAAGTTGTTACGCGAAGGCACCGGTTCTATTTTATATTTGGATTTCCAGTTCTATGAAGACACAAAAAAGAAACGAAAATGTGTGGTGTATGCTTGCAAAGCCTATAAAACATCTCTGCTCTATTCTTATGAAGTCCCTAGTTCTTGTAATACATTTCTTACCAAAAGCAAGCAAACTTTCCTATAGATGACCTTCAAATCCACATTCAATTATATAGTTCTGAAATTCCTGGAATTGATTTCGGAATTGCATTCATCCATACTTGAGTTGTGCAATATGTTTTAAGCCAAGACTTGTGTTACTAATCATCTGCCCTGAAGTTAATGAGCATCTTTGTTAAACCTTGCAAAAGTAACTCTCAAGTTACTATTTCAGGTCAAAAATACTTTGGAAGGAAATTTTGATTTTTCGCTTTCAAGTTTTACAATTAAGGGTAAAAGAGGAGGCATATAGTAGATAGCTAGATTGAATATTTCATTTGTAAGCTAAAATAAAATACTGAGAGAGGAATACTCTTAAGTAATCTTGTGGAGTGGACTAGTCTAGCATTGTGGTTTCTGGACACATGATTATGGTCAGGTAGTGGGGTGCAATATCATGAATGTCCATGATTTTTTTTGGACTTGACAATGTCTCACACTGGTAAGGTTTTTGTTTGAATGTTTTGTATTCATATAATTTTACTTCTCTCATTTCTTGCCATTTGTGTAGAATCATTCATATTCATATGTGTTTCATTTATTTCTTACAGCCATATCTCCATGAATCCCGTCACCAACATGCTATGAGAAGGGCAAGGGGCAATGGAGGCCGCTTTCTCAATACAAAGAAGCTCGAAGATAACAATTCCGATGCCACTTTAGAAAAAGGCCACAATACTGGTGCAAACCCTTCAACAACCTCACCTACCGCTCAACATTTGTTAACCAACAATGAGAATCTAGGCTCATCAAATGCGTCACAGTCCGGGGTTCAGGACATGCACAAAGTGCTGAGTTTCAACATTGGTTACCATGATGGTAATGGTCGTACAACACTGTACCATTCACAGTTAAATGGAAGAAATGAAGGAGACTGCTTTGGTAAAGAGAGGGAAATCATGCGCATGCGTATGCATGGAGCCCCAAATGGGGCTATTAAATAACACTTCCCTCTGAGTTGGTGGGGTTCCTCAGCCATACAGCAATAGTTAGGTACTAGAAACTTGAAATAGATTAAGGTTTGGTTGAATTTCTCTCAAAGTCTTATATAAGGTTCATCATATATTGCAGGTGAAGATGAAGGGCTTTGTCTCATCCACTTGGAGGAAACCACCCTTATGATGTTGTAACTCGAAGGCAATTCATTCTTGGCTCAGTTAATTAAAGTGGTGAGACCAGAAAGGAAGATACATGGTACACTCCATGCCTTGTTTGGTCTCCCCTTGCTTCTGTTTCTTTTCACAAGTCCATTTGTAAAATGGATGACAGAAAGAAAAGAAAAAACACTTTGGTTTGTTAACTTTTTCAAGTTAATATTTTAATCTCGGTTTGAAGGTTCATAAAACTGTTGACTGACTTGTGTGACATATACTCCACTAGATCTTAAAACATTACTCTCTTTTATCCCATCTCTCCTTCCACATATTATCCTTAATTGGTACTTATATACTACATAGTAGTTTGCTTTGATGCTCGTGTTTCCATATGAAATTGTTAACCCCATTATTCTATGGTGGTTGTGCATGCCCATAATTTTTGGATCTTGTTTCACCCTATACATGTGGGAAGTGCTAAATGGAATTCAAATTTGCTGGGGAAACCTGGCCTTGCTGAATAAAATTAATGATATTATAAAAAAAAGATTGGAACTTAATTTTCTTTTTTACAAAAAAAGTTAGTTAAAAAGGGTGAAAGAAAAGTTGCTCAAGAATTTTTGTGCAAGTGGCACAAAAAGTTGCTTGCACTTTACCTCTCTGTCTCTCCTCTTCATGTTTTAGGTTATATACATATTTTTTAACGAACAAAAGAAGAAATAAAAAAAAAGTGTGGTCCACATCTTAAAGGGGCTCCCTCGGGAACCTTGGCAATCTTAATTTTAAGAGTTTAAGGTTACATTTGATTTCAATGCCCATCCCATCACCCTTCTTGGTTGATACCAAGCTTTCTGAGGGTTCTATTATTTCTCATGTATAGTAATTTTTTTCACTTGTATTATTATTATTATTATTATTATTATTTATTATTGTTCATAGCATCCGTTCTTGAAAATCATTTTTTTTTTTATAGATTTTTTTCTATGCATTTAAAATGTTGTCTCTAAAACAACAATTTTCATTTTCTAAAGAAATGATCCTTGCACAATATTTACACTCAATATTCTTTTGAATGCACCTAATATCACAGATATTGCAAGCATCTTTTCCTTCTATTATCATAAGGGCTAAGGCCCCTGCTAAATTGGAACATTTTTTCACTTCAAAAGTTGATTGCTTGATATCGAATCATAGGTCAACGCCTAAAAGAATTAATTTTCCCAATTGAACTGAGCCAATATTTTCATTTGTATTTTCACTAATTCCAATGTCATTAACAGACATACCCGTCACAGTGGTTAAAAATAACTGTTTGAATCCCAAGGTTAATCCTTGGAGAAGCACTTTTGTGAATACCTTTGGCCTTCCTCAAACCCGGATCAAAATTGCAAAATCAATGTATATATCTCAAAGGATATATTGTCACGCGGGTCCAGAGGAGCTCACGGCGGGAAACAACTATCAATGAACTAAATGGATCAAATACATCAAATAAGTCTAACATCATGTCTCAATCCAAAATTTTAAGGCATTGAATTCATGGGGTTCATTCACTTATATACACTTCAGTTAACCCACTACCAACTAATGCGAGACTTATCACACTTGAATAATCCAACACTGTGTTAAGCATACAACCATGCTAAAATGACACGACACCGTGGTGCTATAAAACTTTTGCTATGTGCAATGTTTAATGAAGAGTCATGGCCCTGATGGAAGACAATTCAAATTAGACCCACAAGCCAAATCTTTCTTGCAAGCCAATGATGAATATAAAGTCTCAGCAGATGGTGTGAATGTTCCTTCCCCCATATACTCAAATGCAAGGATTTTCATTCAGGAAGCTAAGTACTCCTTCCATTTGGTTCAACCTGGCTTTCATTGGGTTAGACTTCATTTCTACCCATTAAAAACAATGTCTTTGATCTTCAGAAGGCCACTTTCTCTGTCAATACAGATACCTATGTTCTTCTTCATAGCTTAAATGTTAACAACAATGAGAAGCCAATCCTCAAGGAGTACCTCATCAATGTAACTCAACCCCAATTCACCATATCCTTCATTCCCTTGAAGAACTCAGCTGCATTCATCAATGCCATTGAAGTTGTTTCAGCTCATGATAACCTGATCTTTGACAACGGCGCCGGCCTTTTCCCGGTAGGGGAATTTACCGGCCTGACAACTTATGCTTTCCAACCTGTTTTCAGGCTCAACAATGGAGGATCGTTGATCACCTCATCAAATGACACCCTAGGAAGAACTTGGGAATCTGATGAGCCTTTCCTGACAAACAAGAACTTGGCAAAGAGTGTCTCAGTGGCTACCAGCGCCATTAAGTTCCCCAAGGATACACCAACAATTTCTCCTTTGATTGCACCACAAACGGTGTATGCTTCTGCCACTGAAATGGGTGATGCTGGTGTTAACCAGCCAAATTTCAATGTCTCATGGAAATTTGATGTGGACACTTCTTTTAGTTACCTCGTTAGATTGCATTTCTGTGACATTGTAAGCAAAGGGCTTAATGAACTCTACTTTAACGTCTATGTTAATGGGAAAATGGAAATTCCTAACTTGGATTTATCGTCTATAACTGGTTAGTCACTGCAACATTGACGTGTCAAGGACTCACAGTTCAGGTTGGACCGGCAAATTCTGATGATGGAGATGCCAATGCCATCTTGAATGGTATAGAGGTCTTGAAGATTAGCAATTCTGTGAATAGTTTGGATGGGGAATTTGGTGTTGATGGAAGAAGAGCTAGTGGTTCTAACCATGTGACAGTTGCAGCAGTTGGATTTGCCATGATGTTTGGAGAGCATTTGTTGGTCTTGGTGCTATGGTGATCAAGTGGCACAAGAGGCCTCAAGACTGGCAAAAGAGGAATAGCGTCTCTTCATGGTTACTGCCTTTACATGCTGGTGATACAAGCTTCATGAGCAGCAAGACCTCGATGGGAAAGATCAACTTCTACTCCTCATCAATGGGTTTAGGCCGGTTTTTCTCCTTTGCAGAATTACTAGAAGCCACCAAAAACTTTGATTCCAAAAACATTATTGGTGTTGGTGGATTTTGTAATGTCTACTTGGGTGTGATTGATGAGGGGACTCAAGTTGCAATAAAGAGAGGAAATCCACAATCAGAACCTAAGAAGCACCGATACTCCTTAATTTTTTTTTCCAACGTATCGGATACGCCTATCGGAAACGTATTATTTGGTAATCTACATTCTGTATCATCGAATAACGTATCGAAAACGCGTATCGGTGCTTCATAGATCAGAACAAGGTATCACAGAATTCCAAACTGAAATTCAAATGTTGTCCAAGCTTAGACAGAGGCATTTGGGTGTCCTTGATTGGATACTGTGATGAGAATGAAGAAATGATCCTGGTTTATGAATACATGCCTAATGGAAATTTCAGAGACCATCTTTTATGGAAAGAAATTGCCTCTTCTATCATGGAAGGAAAGGAGCAACAACAGTGTGTAAAAATCAAAGTAAAAATCGATTTCACCGTTCCATTTCAATTGATGGTACCAGCGTGTAACGACGAACAATTAAATCAGCACCTGTTTAACTTAATAGCATAATCAAGAAAAAAAACAGAGGAGCAACAATCCATGACAGACATCAACGGTACCTTTATCTTCTTCTTTACATTTCTTGTCTCGCGAAACCTTCTTTGGCGCCATTACCATATAAAACGTTGAATATCGGAATGAAACAATATTTTGAATAAATGTCTAACATGCACAAACTTATATATATATATATATATATATGTGAAGCATAGGAGAAACTTCGTTCCATTGCTAAACAAATGGTATTTTGCAACATCGCTGATTCAGAAACAAAGTACAAGTGGAAGTGAGATGACAGTTAGGAGGGAAATGAAAATTCTAATGAAAATAAAAAAAACTAATAAAAATTAGGGAAAAGTATAAAAAAAAAAAAAAAAAAACTGTATTACTGCTATAAATCAATTATATCTAGGGATACAAATAGGCCCGATCAGTTGTTTACAGTCTGGACTACCTTATATAGTCTGTTCTATTTTCTAAATAGAACAGGTTTAGATTTTTAGAAAAATTCATTTAAGAATTAGGATATAGTCACTCACACCTTAAAAAACATGCCCTGATTTGATTAATTTAATTATTAAAAAAATTAAGATGTGCAAAATTATGAATTCCGCTTCTCACGGAGCATATATGTGCGCGCCTGCTATGTTTTTATGACGTGTGTCTTATTGGTTTCCGCAAAGAATCTGTTGTGCTATGAAGCACCGACACTTCAGAAATTCTGACGTGCGTATCCGACACTTCCCGACACTCCCCGACACTATAACACGCGTTATAGAAATTCACAAAAGATTCAAAGGTTGCACTGCGCTAAGTTTTTTGTTCCAACTATTAGATTCGTTGGATTACGAATACCATTTTATTGAGTTTAATATAATATATTATATTTCTTTGCAAAATTGATGAATATTATAAGTTTAGTTTCATTTTTTTGTTAAATTATTAAATATTAATATAATATACACTACATAAATTAAAAATATTATTTAATATCAAAACGTGTCCAAACGTGTCGAAATCTAACATTCTTTAGAATTAACGTGTCGGAGTGTCGTGTCATATCGTGTCCCGTGTCGATATCGGTGCTACATAGCTGTTGTGTACACTCTCATTTTTGACTTTCTTCTCTTATTAAAAGTACGAAAAAAGTTGGAAGGGAAATATCTCTCCAATCAGATTCTCTATTAATTTCCCCCATGAACCTTCCACATTTATCGTAAGCGAGTCATTGACTTTCATAGTATAGTATGAAAATTGGAGGGCACATGTCCTCTAAACAAGTCGTGCCATATCTCCTTAGCATGTTTATAATCTCGTAGCACATGAACAATATAGTTTCTTCCTGGTATTGGCAACTTTGACACACATTTGGGCCTGCTCCCCACTTACTGGTGTTACTTCAAACATGTAGTTTACCAAGTATAGCCGTCCACATCATCGTTTTAATTTGTTCAGGCCCTCTCCAAGACCACAATTTCTTCCAAATTGTCTTCTGTAAATTTTCCGAGAACTGCATTATATATGTTCCTATAAGCAACTTTGACTAAAGAAGATGAGGCATGGTTATTTATCCAAACTTGCATGTCAACTTCACTTCCCTCAATCAGCAACAGGTTACTCGTCACCTTGGTAATCCAATCGTTACTTAAAAATCTTCGCAAGTACCCAACATTCCAAGCACCTTGATCAACACACTCTGCTATATTTTTGTCAATCTCCTCCAAAACATAGTTATAATATAATTTTTTTTCCTCTTCATAACTTGTCGGCTGACGTGTATAGAGAAAAAAAAATAACTTTAATATTATAATTATGTATTTCACAAAATACATAATTATATAATAGTACCGTCACATTCAATTCGATGACAGTAGTATTAAAAATTTGTACCAAAAGTATAAAAGGTCTGTCTTTTCTTTTTTTGGCTCCTAATTATCAATAAAGTGGATAGTTTTGTTAGAATTTGAAACTTGGAAGAAAGCCTCAAAGTTGTTCAATTCTCCCATAAACAACTAAAAAATTAAGTGTTAAATTTTAATTATTAGGTTAGGTTTGATTTTTTTGAAAATTGATTCTCTCATGTTTAAAAAGAAAATGACATGATCATGTAGAAAAATAATAATTATATAAAAGTAAATTGGTTATGATTTAACAACTATCTATTTTAATATTTTTTTCTCTCTTCAGTTATTATTATTAATTTATCTTTATATAATTATAATTGCTTACATAATCCACTCCCGACCTTTTATCATTTATTATTTCCTCTGGCGTGGTCAAATATAACAAGAGTAGTTAGTCAATTCAATTTTCCCGACACAATTAAAATATGACGCAATCAAATATAATATCTTTGCACCCTTACCTTGTCAACACTACTAACCAAAACTACCTTGCAGGATTTGGCCTTACTATTCCTCGCACGGATTTAGAATTTTTTTTTTAATGTCTGCACACTTAAAATAAAAGAATAATAATAAAAATTTATATTTTTTTAAATATATTAAAATACAAAAGAATATAAGAAAAAAAAGAGAAAATTTTAACTTAATATAAAAAAAGTAATCAAGAGTCAACTAAACTGTTACTATAGAACATTTTGGGTCCTCAATAAAAATTAAGGGCCTCAATTTAATCACTTAGCAAAAAAAAGTCTACTTGTGATCTCTCAGAATTCAAAAATAGACCCAGATAATCAAAATCATAGTCATCTGAAATTCAAAAAGACCCACATTAATCCTTCAAAAGGACTAACATGGGTCTATTTTAAAATTTAAAAAAATCACGAGTCGACTTTTTTTTTAAGAGATTAAATTGGGTCCTGAAATTTTTGTTAATGAATCTAAATTTATTTTATTTTATTTTTTTAAAAAATTTGTATGTACACTTGGACACGCACTCAAACAGGTCCGCCACTGATTTCTCCAGAGCTATATTAAATTTATTTCCTGTTCCTGATATGTTAAACGAGGACACTTTCGCAATGTCAGCATATTTAATTTTAGTACACGAAACCTTGAACTCTTTACCAGGCAAATCACGGGAACCATATTTTAGTTTTATTTTCGTTTTTCATAATACCCTTCCACTTAACAAATAGGAGAAAAATTGAATCTCTTAGGAATAACGTGAAGTGTTGAATGTGAGAACTCTTTCTAACAATATTTTCTTTTTCATTTATATAAATTTTGAATTCGAACCTGAGTATATATAAAGAATAATATTATTTCATATTGCATGTCAACTTGCCAAAATTCCTTGGTCAACACGTAATCCCTTAATAAAATCAATGTCCAATGAAAAAGCTGATCGAGTCCAAAAATTAGACACGTACAAATTTAACACACCTACTTGTTTTCCTTGTCACACTATAAAATGGCACCCCCTTTCTGCTAATTTTCACACCAACCACAAGCTTCCATTACACCTAACAATTTATAAGGTGTGAAATTGAGAGAAACACCTCTGCAAATACTAGCTAGGCACAACAAACCTTCCTCTTCAAGTTAGAGAGTTAATTTCCAACAATGAATTCAGGAAAGACATGCACCCTTTTGAATTTGATCCTAATTGTTGTGATCTGCATGGCTATTTTGATGAGTCAAAGTAGGGTGGAGGCAAGCAGGGTTTTATATACAGAGGAATTTGCAAGAGCTAATAGCCTCCAAACGTTCACCTCATCAACCTATGAGCAAGCCAAGAACACCATGGCATTTTGGCTGCAGCGTTTAGCTTCTGGACCAAGTCCTAGAGGCCCTGGTCACTAATATATATCCATTATTCCATTAAAGTTCTCACCCATATTCACATCTCTGTCTCTCATTTTAAGTTTGTTCAGGTCAAGATACATGGTCTATATATAGATATAGGTATTTATACATAAACAAAGGATATGTACAGAAAACATGCGATCTAGAAAATGCAAAGATACATGTATATTTGAAATTAGATTCTTTAATGTATATAGTCATTTTTTATTTTATAATTAGTCTCTTATTAATCTTCTTTCCCAGCTGCTTTTATGTGAATACAAATATTTTTGGTATTTTGTTGATTTTGAATTAATATATAAGCATATGATCATGCCGACAAAATTGACTTTAGCAATTAATGGTTTCTGCGACGTTTAGAATTATGAAAGCAAAATAACAAAAGCATATCTAATAACTCTTGCTATATTCCTGACCTCATCCCCTACATGCATCGCCTCATGTTCCAAATGAACAGTTCAAATGTGAATAATTAATTAGCACAGTTGATGCGAGAGAATTGATCAAGTAGAGCTGAGAATATATATTCGATTCTCAGTACATTTTTGAGAAGGGTTTAAATTAGTCTTAATTCAAAGATTAGTTTCGAACCGGACTACTCGCGAAATGATGAATCGATTGGAATTTATTAAAAAAATGAATAATTAACTAAATAAATAAAATGTAATTAGTTTTTCTTATTCTTTTTATTCAAAAAAATAAAAATAAGAGAAAAATTAAAACACTTTATTTCAACACCACACACGAAAGAATCTCACGCGATATGTTTGAAATTGATAACGAGATGTATCTGTGACAAGTAGCTTGATGATTAAAAAGGATTCATGAAAGTTCCAATCCGTGTTTCAAGTGAAATCAACGACACGCATCTATGCACCCACAAATTTGGGATCGTGCGTAGGAACTTGAGATCCCAAGCAAACAATTAATATGGGTCCCTATATCCACCTACTGACAAGAATACGTTGAGAACTGAAACAAAGGATTCAAATCTGAATATAATTAAATTTTTGTCAATTGAGTGAAATTCTGGTTTAACTTATTCAATTAAATACTTTTTTACACTATCATTTAAAAATGTGTTGTCAAATTATTGATGTAAATACAAACCTTTTTTTTATACTAACAGTATATCAAAATTAAAGTTGAATAATTTATTTTAACATCTTAATGAAATGTAAGCTATAAACAAATTAAAAGTTGGAATGAGTTAATTCGTAACATCTAGGGGTGTTCGCGGTCTGGATTTGATCGGTTTTGGAAGCAAAAATCATCTGATTCAATCCCTTCGATTTTATCATATAATCATCCATTCGGTTTGAATTTTTTTTCAAATCGATCCGATCCAATCCAATTTTTTTCGGTTTAGATTGGATCGGTTTTCGATTTTTTGAAAATCCTAAAATTTATTTCATGATTATTGTGCAAATAACATCTTTTGTAAAAAAAAAAAAATTTGGCAATGAGATATGAAACTCTACACAGATGAAAATTTGTTAATGAGATGTGACTAAGTTTTTTCTTTGGTTTAGTTGATGGGTTAATGAGTTTTAGGTTCAGAAATTTTTGGGTTATGATTAGGGAAATGCCTAAATAGATAGAGAGGAATTAATATATTGGATCGATTTGGATTGGATCGATTTTCATCAACCAATCCAAAAACCGATCCAATCCAATTAAATTTTGCGGTTTATTTTCAGTTTTCAGTTTTTTGGTTTTCGGTTATCGATTTTTCGGTTCGGTCTCCGCGGTTTGAATCGGTTTGGATCGGTTGATGAACACCCCTAGTAACATCGAAACTTCAAACCATATATATATATATATATATATATATATATATATATATATATGTTTTAATTGCTTTTTACATTGGAATTGCTCAGCTGATCTAAAATTCGAATTTTGAAATGGTTTCAAATTTTGAATTTAAAATATGGATGGTGGGAAAAGATTTGGAAAGTTTTGGGTGGCACTCAGCTAATTTAATCTCTGACTGCTTTTCTGCTGTTGCTTGCGTCTATAAAAAGGAACTATGTGCATTGTTATTTCGTTTTTCCCTCTGGTATTCAATTTTTCGTAATTGTTTCTTTGAGACAAATATCCTGCTTTTTTTCGTCTTTTCTGTCTCCTGCTTCTTTTCATCTTTTCCTTCTTCCCAAAAGAAATGGTTTCAAGATATGATTTTATAAAGGATCTTAATCCTACAAAGGAGGACTGGAGGATTAAGGTTAAGGTTGTTCGATCTTGGCAGGTTCCTAACTTTCAACGTAAAGGTTTAGACGACAATGTTGAGATGGTTATGTTGGATGAACGGGTACATAATACTGATTGTTTTTTTATTGTTTTCGTAGCTGTTGTTATGATTTTAGTTTTGTGTTGTTGATACTTTGTCTTTTCTTTTTTTTGTAGGGTGGAAGGATCCATGCCACTGTCAAGGGAACTCTGCAAGTCCGAAAAAAAATCACGGATGGAAAGGTGAATTTTATTAAAAATTTCGGAGTTGGATTCAGTAACGGTAATTTTAGGCCAACCCGACATGATTATCGTCTGTCTTTCAACTTGAGGACTGATGTTAGATCGATTGTTCAACCTAATTTTCCTGCGAATGTATTTGATTTTGTTGATTACAATGTCATTGAGAAAGAATCGTCGGAGTCTCCTTATTTAATAGGTAATGTAATGTTTAATGACCGTTGTTGATTAATAATTTTTTGTGATTTTAATTATAAAATTAGTGTTGTCTTCTTTGCTCTGTAGACATCATTGGTTTACTGTCAGGAGTTGGGGAAGTTTGTGAGCATGTAGTTTCCGGCAGGAAAACAAAGATGATTGTGTTGGAACTTGACAATCTCAGGTATACAAAATGTTAACTTTTTTTACAGTATCTTAATCGAATCATTTCATCTGTAACCTTCTTCTCTCTGCTTCTAATGTATAGGGGTCACAAGCTGGAATGCACTTTGTGGGAGCATTATGTGGATGAGGTACAATCTTTTTTGGCAAGCAGTAACACTCCTCATAAGGTGATGATTGTTCAACTAGGGAGGATAAAGGGTTTTAGGGGTATGTGCTTTGTTGCTCTTTTTTTCTACATGTATCTGATTTAATTTTAGCTTCTGTACTATGTTATACATCGATGGATGTTCATTGTTTCTGTATTGGATAGGTAAAATTGGGATAACGAATACAAAATATATGACGAAGATTGTCATGGATTCGAATTTGCCTAAGATTGTGGAGTTCAAAAAATAGTTTGCATATTATTCTTTGTAGTGCTGTTTATCATTTTTTTCGTATGTAAACTTATGCTGTTATGAATGTTTTCATTTTAGTCTATCGTCCGATGGTGTGGAAAGTAGTTTGAGATTGACTCAATTGTCTACTCAGTCCTCATATTCATATGAAAATGATTTTCTTAAGGAGACGGACAGAAAGTCAATCAGTGATATCAAGCTCTATAGTGAGGTAAATATTAAATTCGCATGTGTAACTTGTGTATCTATTAGAATATTAGTATTTTTCTTATTTTTATTTCTGCTGTCATTTATAGTTGCTGATGTGTACCTGTTTCTGTTTTGCACATCTTGTGTGCGTGTGAGTTTGTTTAGGCACCTCCACTATTTGTGTCATTTTGTTAGGCACCTTTTGTGCGCACGTTTGTGCCCCTTCTTTCTGTTATAGTTTTTTTGGTAATGCTATATATGTACAGCCTAATGTATTACTCAATATTCAGAATATTCTATACAGAAATATGATGAATATTTAGATATATTTTTCTGCTGCTAATAGTAAACATTGTAAGTGTGAATTGATATGTTGTTCATTTTTGTGTTGCATTTCTGTATTGCAGGTGACCACATGCATCACATATGGGACTATAAAATCGATTGAGAGCAGATACAACTGGTGGTACAAGTCGTGCAATAAGTGTCCATTTTCTGTTTGTGAAGATTTTGAAAAATGGTACTGTAAAAACTGCCACAAACATTGGGAAGATTATTACCTTAGGTAATATATTGCTGCTGATTTATAAAATGTTTTCTATCCTATAAGTAATTATTTGTGTGTGATGGATGTTTTTTTAAAAATTGCTAGATTTAGTGTTCAAGTCAGAGTTGTGGATAACACAGCTTCTGCTTCTTTTCTGTTGTTTGATCGAGACTGTATTACTTTGTTGGGAATGAGTGCTGCTGAATTGCGAGAATTGCATTTCAAGAGGGTTTGTATTTTTATTTGCATCAATTAGTTATGAAATACTATATGAGCTGTGTTGCTATAGCGTGGTATGTATGTAAGTTTAAATTTTTTTTTTTATTCCTTTTTCCAAGGGTGCTGATGCATAACAGTATCCTGAGCAACTAAACGTTCTGAATGAGAAATCCATGTTGTTTAAGATTAATGTGAAAGAAAAAAACTTAAACGCATTCAGTGAGCCAAAATATCAAGTATCTAAAATTTGTATCAGCGAGGAGATAACACAGCATTCCTGAGTGATCTGGTCGACCCCAATGTACGATGTTGAACTGTTCATATGAGATGTCCACATTTTGTATTCATTTGTATGACTGTTGTTGGTTGTTCTTGATTATAGGATGAAGCAACTTTTGATAATGCTCACGAAAATGAAATTTTATCATCAGAACCAGAGAAGGCTGCTGTAATCCATCATTTCAATTTATATAAGTGTTATAAAAAGTGTGTTTGGTTACTTCGTTGCCTAACATGTGTGCTTAAATATTTTTTATTTATTTGATCAACTAGGATGTTAAAAGTCAGACATGTGACAATGCTGATGTTGGTGACATTTCTCTAACTTTATTGACACGACGATGAATTCTCATGATTCTAATGTTGAGGAATTTAATTGTTCGGTTCTGCGAACAACGAAAAAATAAATCTTGAAAAAGAGTTATGTAAATTCTAATTTTTATTTGTATTTTAATTCGTAAGAACAAAAAAAAATACGTTACTCATGTTGTCATCTCTGTTAGAGTACTTTTTTTTTCCTGCAACCAATAATTTTCCATACCATTTCATTTGATGACGCGATACAAATTACTGATTTTTTTGTATTTTGTTTTTGCTTTTTAAAATAGGTTTGATGCGGAAGCGTATACAAATTCGTAGTGAATGGAGCAACTCTGACCGAATGCTGTGATTATTTCGTGTTTCAGAAACAAGCTTTTCCAAACATTTGTTGTGTTTTATAATTCCATGTTGTACTGTCTTTTTGTTTATGTGACATTTTAAATTAGCACTTCTCATTTGTGATGTTTTACTACTTTCCATGCAGCATATATGTGTAATATGTGGTGTCCATTACCTATCTACTGTTGATAGATTATATGGAACATTGTTTCTGTAGTCGTTAATTGCAACTTACGGTTTGGTTTTTTAAAGTGTTCAAAAAACAATATTTTAAATTTTAAAGTGGCATGTAATGCAGTGATGAGATGCAGCTTACGGTTTGGTCCCTAATAATCTGTGCCTTGGATATATTGCAGTCATTAATTAGTTCACAGTTCCTTTCTTTGGAAAATCCATTCCTGCATATTACCGAGATTTGAACACTTGCAATTTATGTTTTCCTTGACTGTTGGTTTGCCACTACCAGTTACATCCGGGGGTGTATATAAAAGGTCACATAGTAGTTAGGTTTCATCTTACAATTTTTCATTTCATCTATCTGTGCATCTGGCTTGAGTCGATGGATTCTTCACCTTTTGCAAAACGTGCAAGGATGGCTACCGATGGTCATGTGTCCCTATAAGACAAATAAAAAAAATGTTGTGTCAATTAACTTCTACTACACACGTGTCTTTGATTTTTTTTTTATCTTTTCACTCTTACCAAATTTTGCTTCATAAATTGTAGAAAAGTAGTTGTAGTTTAAACACTAAAAAATATGATATTATATAACTTGCAATCATTATTCAATATTTTCCTTCAACGGTTGATCAAAAAAAAGAAATTCAACAATGTCTGATTCTTTTTTCTTCGTTGTTTTTGCGCTGTAAATATTATGTAGACAATTTTGCTGCATTTTCTCCATCACCCGTTTGGAGGTAAGTTGTCTTTTTCATTGTTTTCATTTAAATGAAACGTATTCATCGTTATTATAACTGTTTTTTTACTGATATGAGCCATCCCATTTAAAAATAAATCAGTGTTTATCAAAATAGAAAACATAATCCTTTAAAAGTTCCTTCATCAAATGTTGATGATTGTCTTATTACTCCTCCCACTCAAGGTAAGATATTAGATAAAAAAATGTCATTTGCTTCGAATGATCATTTGCTTCACATTATCGATTGCTTCTAAAGTCATTTGATTTACAAATTTGGCGTCCTCCTTTTTTTCTAGATACCAAAAATGCTAGAATAAGGCGAAAAGCATACTGGCTCAAAAGAAGAATTCTAAGCGGTTTATTAATATAGACGATATAACGAGAATGGAAGACTTAACAGGTAATTTATCTTGGAAAAGTTTAATTTATGAACCATCTATTGCTGATGGAAAATAATGTCATGTGTTACTTATTGTTTATTAATTTTATTCGTGGTATATTAATTACTCAACTTTTGAATTTTCAAAATAGGAATAGATGTTAATGATGCTGTGTCCATGCGTTCAACTCTTAGTACGTTATCTAATTCTGACTCCATGTCACAGTATGATCATAATAAACTTTTTTTTATTAGTAACTGTATACTATTACTACTTTCGTGAAGCCATATAACTGAATTAACACTGTCTCAATTTTCTGTTGTTGTAAAGGTTACCATATTCTACTCCAGTGATACCTATGGAAGTAGTGCTTCAACTCATGCCTTCCAACAAAGTGAGATAAAAAAATGCTATTCATTATGTATTTACAAAAAAATATTTCATATGTCGTGCATGCTCATACTATCACATTTTTTGTGTGATATTTTTATTACGAAATTGCAGATTGTAATTAAATTCTCCTTACAGCAAGAAAAAAATATTAAAAATGTTCGTAATAAAATGAGGTTTGATATCTTCATGGCCTTTTTTCTTTATGTTACAGGTACTGATATGAATAATTCCATTGTGCCTAACATTACTTCTAACAGTGAAGGTATTTGCATGAATTTAAATTTTGTTCATTTTTTTTTTGAATCAAAATTGTGCAAGTATCGTGATTTCTCCATTTTGTATTTATTAAGATTATTGGGATGCAGGAGATCCTACTTTTATTTGCGAGAAATGTGGAGCACATTTGTGGTACGAGGAGAGAAATAAAAAAGATCGTAAACCCAGCACACCAGAGTTTAGTTTGTGCTGCGTAAATGGTAAAGTAAAACTTCCTTTGTTAAAAGTTCCTCCTGATGTGTTGCTTAAATCGCATGATAATTCAAATATCAAGAGCCGCCACTATTTACAGAATATTCGAGCATACAATATGATATTTTCCTTCACCTCCTTTGGAGCAAAAGTGGACGGATCAGTGAATCAAGGTTTTGGCCCTTATTGTTTTAGAGTTGGGGGACGAGTGCATCATTTAATAGGCAGCCTTATTCCAGCTGACAGTCATACTCCAAAATTTGCTCAGCTATATATATATATGATACTGACAATGAAGTTGACAATAGATTGGGTTGTTTAAGGCATGTTATTTTCTAATCTATTGTCATCTATCAATTACGGTGTATATTTTTTATTTATTTTTTACTTATTTTTATGACATTATTCTTACAGTTCCATAAATAGTGAAGATAAGCTTGATCCTGATATTGTCCTATCATTGAAGGAAAAGTTAGATAAACACAACAGTATTGCTCAATCTTTTAGGTACGCTAGAGATCGATATAGGGAAGATGACTTCAGTGGAGTGAAGTTGAGGCTGATTCGAAAGCGTGGCAGTGATGGCAGAGTTTATAATCTTCCCTCTGCATCAGAAGTTGCTGCTCTGATTGTTGGGGATATAGACAACGTATTGGCTGATAGGGATATTGTTGTTGAGAAACAAGATAGAGTTTTGCAGCGTATAGATGTCAAGCATTCGTTGTATCTTGGATTGCAGTATCCTTTGTTATTTCCTTATGGTGAAGATGGTTATCGTGATGATGTTGAGCGATCTTATATATCCCGTGGTAGGACGAATCCAAGATCCACTGTTAGCATGCGAGAATTTTTTTCATTCAGAATTCAAATGAGATCAGGAGAGTCCCAAGTTCTCCATCACTCAAGGAAGCTTTTTCAACAATTTTTGGTTGATGCTTACACTATGGTTGAGTCTGATAGGCTGAATTTTATTCGATATAACCAGAGTCATCTCAGGGCAGAGTTATACTAAAATATAAAACATGCATTTGACAGGGGTGAAGATGAAGTTGTAAACACTGGAAGGCGTATCATTATTCCTTCTTCGTTCACAGGCGGACCTAGATATAAGGCTGAGAATTGTAAAGATGCCTTTGCAATTTGCCGTTGGGCTGGATATCCTCATCTGTTTATAACGATCACCTGCAATCCTAAGTGGCCAGAGATTACCAGATTTCTTAAGGCAAGAAACCTAAACGCTGAAGATCGTCTTGATATTCTTTGCAGAGTATTCAAGTTCAAATTGGACCAATTGCTACATGATTTAAAAAAGGGTCGTGTTCTTGGCACAATTAATGCACGTAAGTGTATTGTTGACTTTAATTTTTTTTCGAGTTTTATGACAAAATTTACACGTTGATATATAGAAAATAATATGGGTAAACCTTATCACAATTTTATGTATCCTACCAAAAAAATTCAAAATAAAAATCGTCTATGACCAATTTGTTGATTTTAACTAACTCTGTTTGTTTGTTTCAATGTAACAGATGTTTGTACAGTTGAATTTCAAAAACGTGGATTGCCTCATGCTCATATTCTACTTTTTTTGCATCCCTCCGCAAAGCCTAATACTGGACTTGACATTGATAATTTGATTTCAGCTGAGATTCCTAACAAAGATTCTAATCCTTCACTTTTTGCAGCTGACACGAGTTACATGATGCATGAACCCTGTGGTCCTGACAATTACAAGTCTCCTTGCATGAAGAACAGACATTGTTCAAAGAAATTTCCCAAGAAGTTTTGCTCCCTTACTTTTATTGATGATGATGGATTCCCTCATTATAAAAGAAGAAATGATGGGAGTGTTGTCAAAAAGAACGTCATTGAACTTGATAACCGTTATGTTGTGCCGTATAATGCAAAACTTCTTTTAAAATATCAAGCGCATATCAATGTTGAATATACTTGTCAGAGTAGTGCCATTAAATATCTTTTTAAATACATTCATAAAGGGCAAGACAAGGTGACAACTGCTATAAATCATTCAGATGATGAAATCAAAATGTTTTATGATTGCAGGTTGTTAGATTCATATCGGTTATGTTTTCCTTTCGTTACTTGGAATAACCTTTTTCTAACTTATTTTGAATTTATTGCTTATATATGATAGGTATGTGTCCGCATGTGAAGCTGCTTAGAGAATATTCGGATTTGAAATTCATTACTGATTCCCCCCTGTTCAGCGATTGCCATTTCACCTACCCAATGAAAAGAGCATTGTTTTTAGTGAACATGCTTCAATAATTGATGTCAAGACTAGGGCGGAGTCTAGAAAATCAATTTTTTAGTCTTGGATGGATGCAAATAAAAAATATCTAGAAGGTAGGCATCTTACTTATGCAGAGTATCCAACTCAATTTGTTTATAAAGAAAATACGCATGAATGGCATCCCAGAAAACAAGGATTTTCAATTGGAAGAATAAATCATTTTTCTGCCAATAATTGAGAAGATTCCTATCTCCGAACTTTACTTAATTTTCAAAAGGGTTGTACAAGTTACGAAGATTTGAGAACTATCAATAGGGTGCTTTTTCCGACATTTAAGGATGCCTGCTATTCTCTGGGACTTTTGGATGATGGCAATGAGTACATTGATGCAATTAAAGAGGCAAGTTATTGGGGTCAGCAACTTATCTGAGAAATCTGTTTGCTTTATTTTTATTTGGTAACTTAATGAACTGGCCTGAAAATGTTTTCCAAAAATGCTGGGAATTACTATCTGACGATGTTCTTTAATTGCATAGGCAAAGAATTGGAAGTGAAGGTAATTGTCCTGAACAAATTTTGTACATTCATTTATGTGTATTGTGCATTATAATTAAATTTTTTCCGTTCTGTATTGTGCATTCATTTATGCAAACAGTTTTCCTATGTTTAATTCATTTGACGTTGGGAAAAATATGAGTGTTTTTTGTTCTTTCGTAAAAAATTACATCTATATATCATACACGGTCCTATTCTTAATATTTGGTTAAATTTTTTCGTTAAGTTCCACACACTTTGCTTTGTTCATAATTTTGCTTTATTTTTCTCTCCTCACCAACTTTGTCTTTGTTAATCCTTTTTTTTTGTATTTTTCAATTTTTTCAGATGCTTTTCTTACGGAGGATTCTATAAAAAACATAACCATTGCAGAAATTGATAAGATGTTGCAAAGCAACGATAAATGCCTCTCTGATTACCCATCCATGCCGAGTATCATCGGTGAATCTTTATTGGATATGCAGAATAGATTGGTGATGGATGAATTGTTGTATGACAGTTTCTCTTTGAAAGAAGAGCATGACAGACTACTGAATTCACTCAGTGATGAGCATAGGGTTGTTTATGACAAAATAATTTCAGCTGTTTCAGCAGGTAAAGGAGGGTTTTTTTTCCTATACGGCTTTGGTGGCACTGGAAAAATATTTATTTGGAACACCCTGTCAGCATTTGTTCGATCAAGAGCTGGAATAGTGCTTAATGTTGCTTCTAGTAGAATTGCTTCACTTCTACTTCCGGGAGGACGTACGACACATTCTAGATTTCACATTCCTATTCAGATCACCGAAGATTCAAAGTGTAATATAAAACAAAATTCTACTTTGGCAGAGTTGTTGTCAAAAACAAAGTTAATCATTTGGGATGAGGCCCCGATGGTACACAGATTTTGCTTTGAGGCTCTTGATAGAACACTTTAAGATGTTCTTAGATTTTATGATACCAACTGTGTTGATATGCCCTTTGGTGGAAAAGTTGTTGTTCTAGGAGGTGACTTTCGACAAATATTACCTGTATTTCCACATGGAAGTAGACAAGAGATAGTTCATGCAACCATCAATTCTTCCTATCTATGGTCCCATTGTCATTTGTTATCTTTGACCAAGAATATGCGTCTCAATTCTGGAAGTAGCACTAATACTTTGTTGGAAATAAAAGAATTTTCTGAGTGTCTGCTTAAAATAGGAGATGGTGATCTTGGAGATGATATTGATGGAGAATCTATTATAACAATTTCAGATGAATTGTTGATCAAAGGTTCAGAAGACCCACTTTCAGATATTGTTTATTTTGTCTACCCGAATCTGATGGTTAATATATTAGATCCGACTTTCTTTAAAGAACGTGCTCTTCTAACTCCTAAATTGCCCGATGTTGCCATGTTAAACGAGCACCTAATGGCTGTGATTCCGGGTGAAGAAAGGACATTTTTGAGTTCAGATAAGGTTTTGAAACAAGATGGTAATTCATCTCTTGAGGATGACGAAATCTCCCCTGAGATCTTAAATACATTCTCTTGTTCGGGGATTCCTGATCATAAATTAACTTTGAAGGTGAAAGTACCAGTTATGCTATTGAGAAATATTGATCAATTAAGAGGTTTATGCAACGGTACGAGATTACTTATTACAAAGTTGGGGAATCATGTTGTTGAAGCAATCGTTCTTACAGGAAGCAATATAAGAGATACTGTGTTAATCCCTAGAATGAAGATGAGCCCATTGGGTCATACATTTCTAGTAAACTTCCAAAGAAGACAATTCCCCTTGGTAGTTTTGTTTGCTATGACTATCAACAAAAGTCAAGGACAGTCGCTGTCTCATGTTGGCATTTATCTTCCTAGGCCTGTCTTCACTCATGGACAATTATATGTGGCACTATCTAGAGTAAAGAGCAGACATGGATTGAAGATGCTGATACTTGATGAAAATGGTTGTGTTACAAATACTACTTTTAACATCGTCTACAAGGAAGTATTTCAAAGATTAGTGTAGTATACTTGGTTATTTCTACAAAGAGATAACATTGATGTTTCGTATCAGGTAAGAACTCAATTTCTTATAAGAAAATATTTTTTAATCTTCTTTGTTGCATTCCTTTAGTTGTTATGCCTATTTTTCTGCTAATTTTTTATTGTTATGCAGATTCAGTCGTCGAGACACAATCAGTATTTTATTCCCTTGTCATTTTTCAGAGTCAAAAATTTTTCATTGTAATTCTGAATTATTCATCTGCCATAAACTATATAATTCCCTTCAATAATTTTTTCTTTTCCAATTATTGTTTATGATTCATCTCTAACAGGTGCAAATACCAATAGTGCATGGCGGAAGAGATTTTACAACTGTTGCGAGTATCGGTTGGGCATATTTCTTATTATATTGCTGTCAACATGACATTTAAATTTTTTGATGGAGATTTTGCTGTCAACCCTGGAATTTACTGTGTTTAAATTATTATATTCCTTTTTTGTTCCTACCTTAAAAGTTACACGTTTATGTCATACGAACAAACCGATTTTTTTATTAATTCGTTTACGGGACAAACAAACCGATTTCTTTTTTCTCCGTGCATCTCACGGCTAATCAACTAGTATATATATAAAAGAAGAGAACTTTTGACTCTAGTGTAAGAATAGGAAATCTTACTCCTTGTCTTTGTAAGAACCCGCACCGTTAAATAAGGACTTTAACTGATTAATTATGTTAAATTAGGAAATGATTCCATAATTGACCCTAATATTTATTAAGAGGCTTTAATAATTATGTTAAGTGTTTAAGAACGCTGTAAGTTGCTTTTCGGAAGAAAAGTGCAGATACCGGTTCTGCTAGTCGGTATAAATGTGTACTGAAAAACTATCCCGGAAAATTATAATAAGTGCATGATAATTACTAGAATAATATGTAAGACTTGTAAAACGAGTTTCAAGTCAAAATAATAAGAATTGGTTCCAGAAACTGATACTGGCTATGAAAAGCGCGTACCGGAAAGGTGCTCCGAAAAATATAATAAAAATATGATCATTCTTGTAAAATTGTGTAGTTTATGAATCCTGAGTTTGAGATTAAAATGTTAAGCATAGCAATTAAAGTTAATACTGTGTGTTTAAGTGTGTTTGAGCTATAAATACTCTTATTATGGGCACAAAACCCTAAGATCAGATTTCTATACATGAGTTTGGGGCTGACCATCTGCTGGTTACTGTTCCATTGGCTTTCCCTTCCATTTCTTGAGCCAAGTTGTGATCTTTCTTGATTTTCTTCACATTTCCTCCTTGTAAACACTTGTGGGTGGCTTGGTGAGGGTGAGAGATAGCTTTGTCTTGGTGTTCCAGCTACTGTGTTTGAGGGTAGTAGGCTGAGTTGGTGAGCTTGAGTTGGTTGAGCCTTTGTTAAGACATTTTTAGCTACAAAGTATCACCTTTGGGGAAGAAAGAACTCATCTTGTTGAGCCATTTTCGTTTTCCTTGGGAGTCAGAAGTGTTGGAGCTGTTTGGAGAGCTCCAAGAGCCCTTGTCTTCTGTTTTGAGCTTTGGTATGTTGTACAAACCTTTGATCATGAGTTTAATGCTTAAAAATGGAACCTTGATGCATGTAATGATTAAAAGATGATAACTTAATGTTGGGAAATGCTTAACACACTTAGAAATGCATGCTTAAGTGTCTGAAATCAGTAAAAACCCAACCTTGGATGGATATCTTCGCGAAATGCAGAAACTGCATTCTGTCGCGAAATATCCGGATATTTGCCCGTGAAATATCCGGATATGGATATCCGGATATGGGGATCTGGATATCCGGATATTGATATTCAGATATTTCCAGAGAGATATCCGGATATTGCATAGCCGGATATGCCCCGAGGAATATCCGGATATTCTGGGATTTCGAAGAACAGTAGCTGTGCTGTGAGGACAATAGGCTATTGGGGGTTTGTAGACCCTAGAGTGATGAAGTTGAACTTCTATAATTAATGAACTAAGTCAGAACCACGTGATTTAGGGCTTGTGGCTTTGTTGGAAGCCTTAAGACGTAAATCGTTAAAGGAGAACGTAGTCTTTATGTTAATGCTTTTGAGCTATGTATGTTGATACTCTTGTTGGTCCAAATCAGATTGTGATCTGCTGTGTGTTGGACTTGAGCTGTGAGGACTCTTGGCTTTGGATAGTGAACCTGCAAGGTAAGCTTTCGTATCCTCGGTTTAGCCATGTTGTGGTTCCACCATGTCCCATGGGGGTATGGTTATATGCATGTTGTGTTACATGCTTTTGATGTTTTGGAAATGCTGTTGAGCTGTTATATGCTAGTGCCTTTATGATATGCGTGTGGTGTTCTATTGTGCAATTTCGTAATCAATTAAATCACACAAAAACGCAAGTGCACGTATCAACAAGTAATAGAGTGGATGTGTGAGTCCAGATATCGTTCCCACATAGATTATATAATGCTATATCTTTCTTGAAGGAATCAAGGTAACAAAGATGATTTGTTGAAGAACTAAAGACTAAATTAACACTTGAAAGTAAAGCGAAGTAAACTAAGGTACTGATTAACTAAACAAGAATTCAGTATCAAAAGAAGTGTTCAAATGTATCAAGACAGATTAGGATCAATTTCCCCATTATTGCAATATAAACAGAATGCAGTAACCATGCTACAGCAATTATCCAAACAGTAACTAGAACACCAATGCATGAAAGGGCTCTCACCAACAATATATTTATACTAAGTCCCACATTTCTATGGCCAACAAAGTTATGAGTCCATTAAGCTCAAGTTCCAATTGGTTTTGTGGTGCAAGTGATTTCTCTACTCACAATTAACTAATATTACTTAATTAAACCACAATGCTTAATAACATTCAGGAAATATCTATATCTCTATAACATACATCCTAATTATCTTGCAACCCTCTCTCGATGAATCAACAAGATTAAAGAAAATATAACACTTTATTAAGCAACCGAAAGGAAAATCATGTAGCAAAGTTTAGGCAATACTGTTTACATCACAATAAGGGTACTCTATCACCCAATCCTAATAAATTAGCCCATAATATGGTGAACAGAAACAACAAGGGAAGAATAAGACTCCAAAGATCTAAAGTACAGAAAACAGGGACGATGCTGTAGCACTGCTATCGCAGCAACGTGAGCTCCACCACCATCAACCTTGCCTCAGCCGCCAGAATAGTGCAGCAAGTTGCTGGGTTCAATGATCTCTCAATTGAACTTCAGCTTCCTCCTTTGATCCGCGAGATTTCTCCCAACGAACCCTCAAATTCCTCCCAAGTGTTTCATCCACTTTCTCTCTCTAAATCTACCTCCAATTGGGTGTCTCAAAACATATCAGCTGTCCGTTCTTTGTGTAGAGTTCATTCCTTTATAGCTCTGACATTCTGGGCTTCAATCATCTCTTCCAATCCATGCAAATCATCACTCAAAGCTGCCTTGTGATTGATTGAGATTGGCACTCTGTTTTGCTGTCAAGCTGACAACATGTGCTATGGCATATCTCACAGGATTCTTTCCATATTTACAATTCAGATTTGAATCCGATCTGTAATCATTGATTGATAATCTTGTGATTTCTTGATGATGTTGAGCGCGTCTTTCAATAGATCTTTTCGTACACGTTCAGAAGCTTCATCAACCAAATTGGGCTTGGATCCATGGTTTGCTAGTGCTGATATCAACAGTATGTACTGCTGACCTCATCTTCATTGCTACAACACTGCTTCCTGATGCTACAGCATCGACCTGCAGTAAAATAACAAGTGCATTTAAATGTTTCTAAAACCCCAATTTATACCCAAATTCTCATAATTAACATAATTCTCCATTAAACCATAAAATCACAGAATTCATGCATTAATCATATAAAATCAAGAGAATAACATGCAATCATAGTACCCAAAACAT